CTCTGGTGTTTTTGGCGCTGGGTATGTCTTCTTCCCCCGTCCTGTTCCGCTTCGTCTGTGCCTCCCTTTACGAGTCCTCGTCGCACGGCAGCTCGCGACCCTGCCCAGAGTCGGTCAGAGGTCCGGCAGCTGTGGCCTCTGCTCGACCGCGCACGATGCATCGTCCCGTGCATGACACTTGTCGGCTTGAAAATAGGGACGGGAACTGCATGGCGCTGGCACCACCCGCACCGTACTTCAGTCATCCTTAGTAAAAGCTTGGTCAGGCGGTTGCGCAAGGCTCGTCCGAGTCATCTTGCATGAAATGTTCAAAAAGTAGCGATGCGGCTAACCGTCTGGCTTACAGAACCCTGCTGGTCTTCACCGGCATCTTCACGTTCCTCGTATGTTGTCCTACCTCCACCCCTCTACCCCCAAAAGCCCTGTCCGGTACCCTGCGTGGCAGGAAGGGGGGAAACCCCCCTTGATTTGAAGGGCGACGACGGACTGTAGGATTGTGACGGTCTCTGACGCTGGAACCCGTAGGTTGACGCCTATCCGCTCTACGCCGCGAGCGTTCTGGCGGCCAATGCCTTTGTGCGCTGCATGTTCGCTGGTAAGTGCATCTGGTGGTACCGGTGCCCGGGTCCGTCCAGCTGGTATCCTCTTATTATCCAGGTCGCACGTGCAGGAGAGGCTAATTTTTGTGTGGTGCGGTAGCTGCCTTTCCCTTGTTTGGAAACCAGATGTACGAGGCTCTCGGGTATCCCTGGGCATCTTCGCTCCTCGCTTTCCTGACAGTGGCCATGCTGCCCTTCCCCTACATTTTCTTCCGGTACGGCAAGAGAATCAGGGGCACGAGCAGGTTCGCCACCCAAGGCTGAAGATGTGAGCATTGGACGACAACCAAGTGCTCAAATCGGTCTTCAGGGGTCGTTGAGACCTTGGAAAGCCACCCTAGGTGCCCGACCGCGTGCATACGCCCAGTGGCGACGAGTCGACAGGCGCCTCTTCGTCGGATCAGGCACCATCGTAGCACAAGTTACTCGGCCTGCAGGTGATCGAGGTGTGTGCACGCCAGATGCCGACGCACTAGTGTCGACCCGTGTCGAGGCGCTCGCGGCTGACTTTGGTCAGGGCTGGCTTTTTGTTGCCCGGACGTGTTTTCATGAGCCACGCCTACGACAATGCGACGATGATCGGAGCAAAGGAAGAGAAGAGGTGTCGCATTCGAACCCACGACATGGTTGTGTCGATGAGGTCGAGGGAGCTGGGAATGCCGGCGAGGGATGCCTGCCGCATGGGCTACTCCAAAGCCTAGGAGGTGACGCAACAGAAATCTCTATCGTCGATGACCCAATCGCCATGCTGGCATCGAGGCGAGGCTGGGCCTGAAACGATCAAGACGCGTCGACGCGTGAGCCGGCCAGTGAGAAGATGACAACCGTCCTTCTAGCACTCTGTGTTACATGTCAGCATGGAGTGAATGATTCAGGAGACGGCGAGGACCAGTGAAGCAACAAGCCAAGCCACTTAGATGGCTTGTCTACCACGGTATCCAACAGGTTTGCCTAGCAAGCCTAGGTAGGCGCAAGATCACCTGGCAGCAGGTCAGTGGTTTGGTGGAAGCCTCGGTTCCCAGGTTGGAACAATCAAGGCCCATGTTAGCAAGTCTCATGCAGGTGACAATGATCCGTGGTGCGAGGTGTGGTGTGATGAGTGTGGCTGAGGGGTGCCAAGCCAGAGTGATGGTATGTTTATTTCACAGAGCTTTGCATGGTACAAGGGGGGGGGGGGGCGTGAGATGTTTCTGGGCATTTGGGACGAAGTGGCCATCAAGTGAGGTCCCAGACGAGCAGCGGATGACCGCACAACAATGTAGCGGACTCGTAAAACCCGTAAAGAAATCAAGTCGTCGTCATCGTCGTCGTCGCAGGTTGAGGCCGGAACAGTAAATAAGCAACTCCGACTGAATCATGCATGTCTGAATCAACATGACGGCGCGCAGTCGTTAATAAGAATGACCATTGAGCCAAGACCAGGCACCGGCAGGGGGCCATGATGATGCCGTTGCTGCTTCCCGTATGAATCACAGCCACAGTCGCAGCTGCCCCACCGATCCTGGCCTTCCTCCTGTACTCAAGTCATTACATGGTAGCAGGCAGGTAGGTACCTTCCTGTGCCTAATTATAATTGCGTGACGAGGAAATCGGTAGTGGCTCTCGCACTTGCCGGCTCGATCATCTGCCAGTCACGCAAGACAGGATCAGCAAGACAAGGCAGGAGACATGTTGGTCTGAGACCCGTTCCTGCGCTGCCGGTCCGCGGATTCGCAGCTGCCAGGTGAAGTGTGTTTTTCGAGCCTCACATCCTGAACCTCGTGAATCTGAGTCTTCCTTCTGCATTGATCATCCCTCTCACTGATCCTTCATCGCCTGTCCGCCTGAACCTTGAAGCCTAGTTAGCGACATGGTACCTGAAGCAAAGAACGGACGGAGACTCTCAGCCCTGGGACGGACGCGCATCTCATTGGTCTTGTGACCTCGGTTACGGGGTCCTCCTCCAACCCCAAGTTCTCCCGCAGGGCCGGAGCCTTTCTAGCGACCAGACCAATACTGGCTGACTAGCAGTTGGTGCAACCATCAGCTGCGCGCAGCCAATCATGCGCCACCTATTCTTCTCCAATGCGAGAGTGATGCCCAGCCGACCCACCTTTTGACGAACCCCGCAGCGCAAATCTTTGACCATGCCCCAATACCAAGGGCAATGGAACGCAGCCACGAGTGCTGTAGAGACAAGCAGACAAGGCACCACCACCACACCAGACCAACCAACACCAGGAGTCTAGGCACCTTAGAGGTAGGCAGGTAGCAGGAGGAGTACCGATGCCCCCCCCCCCCCTAGTAGTCCAGTCGCAGCTTATTTCTCCGTCGGGTCACAACACACACGACAGCTCTTCAGTCTCAACCACTCAGAGCCTCGCCAAAACACTGTTGTCGCTGCGTCTGAGGTACATACACACCTACCTTCAAACACGTGTGCACTCGCTCGTGTCAACTGAACGCAGACCGAGGTCGACAAACCACGACCGACCCAACGTCGCCGCAGACAATCGACCCGGGCTCCCTTGCCATAGCGATCTCCTCGCTACATCAACACCGAAGACGCCAAACCCGACACCTATTTGCGCTCTCTCTCAGCCCCGCGTCAATGGGCCTGTCGCAACACCCACGCCTCACCCAACGCCCTCGACAACCCTCGCGCCCTCCTCTCCTCCACGTGTGACCTCGTCTTATTATCCTGTTTGCGCCCTTGCGAAGCCAATTGCCCTCATCCCCCCATCGAGGAAATCGACTCGATACCCAAGTTCGGCCTTCTTTTGGTCGCCGACCTTGTGTTGCATGTCAATGCTTGTTTACCACTCGCAATAGACCCCGACGGGTAGCTGCCGACGACCTGCATCCCTCCTCCCCTCTCTGCCGCTGCCATCGACGCTACCCTCATCGACGCCCACAGCCGGCTATCCACGATCCCGAGCTCGAGCCCCAGCCTCTGTCACAAGTTTGCCGGCCAGCGAACGACACCTAGACATCCACGCCGCGGCCTCTGTCCGTGACGGTGCTTCATCCGCCCCTCCCTCGAGGCCCGCGACGTCCTTGGGCAAGCCACGACGCTCCCCCCTTCTCTCTCCTCTCTCTACAACCTTGACTGGTCACTGCCGTCTCAGCGACCCAGTCTTTGCGCCGTCAACGATTTCGTTACACCAGAAACGCCTCCTCCCACCCTCCGTCGCAGCTCCATTGGCAAGCCTTGCTTGTAAACGATACGAGGCCCGCCTACCCTCGTGCCTGACTGATCCTCCGCTAGCACGACCTACATTGGAAGCGCAGACGTGGACTAGTAGCACGCCCCCTCTTCCAGCAGCGAACGACGACACGCAGCATCGTCTCTACGCCCTCTCAAGTTCGAACCTCAATTTGCGGCGGCGGCGTGACACAGCTCCCGCGCGACCTCCTATTCGTCCAGGATTACCTCTCAAAAATTCTTTGGGGCGCCGCAGAGCCCATCCCACCCAAGCGCAACGAGGGGAAACGATACATCGCTGGTCGGGGCTATTTCGTCTTTGTGTCGCTGCGAGGAAACTATACCCTGTCGTGTACCACGTAGAACACTGCCCTGCAGGACGATTGACCATACTCTTTCCCCTAACACCACAGCTCCTGGACTAAAAACCAAGCCAAGAGCCTGGCGCTGCCGCCCAAGACAAGGCCATCCCGGTCGAGGGCTCGCATAGCCGTGCCGTCATCTCGTACACCTCCCGCGCGCCACGCCACCAACCTGTCGCTCGCACCAGCGTGTAGGCTGTATATAAACCTTCGTCATTATGCCGGACGAACTCGAGGAGAACGGAGCCGAGGTCTCGGATGCCATGTCGGACAATGAGCATGAGTACGAAGACGATCTTGCTGTGAAAGACGAAGACGACAAGATGGCCGAGACAAACGACTCAACCGACAACAATGGCGAGGTCAAGAAGAAGTATGACCCTAAAGACCCCTTGCGCCCACGGCGGAAGAAGGCCAGGAGAGCATGCTATGCTTGCCAGCGAGCTCATTTGACGTGCGGTAAGCTTGACAGAATCTTATCCTCTTCGGTGTGACTCGCGGGTCTTGTGATCCGTCCTGCTCGCCTTGGTGACAGCGGCAGCCGGCATGGCGGGGTTGCGCTCGGGGCAGATGTGCCCACGGACCAGCTCTGACTGACGTTCCCACAGGAGATGAACGACCATGTCAACGATGCATCAAGCGTGGCTTGGCCGATGCCTGTCAGGACGGCGTACGCAAAAAGGCGAAATATCTCCACGATGCACCTCCTGAAGCCTTGCGACCTGTTCTGGGCCCAAATTACAACCCGAACCCAACGCCGGCCCGCCCAAACGGTCAACGACAGCACAGCAATGCCTCAGAGACGGCCTCCACAGCCGGGAGCACCTACTTTTCGCAAAGTACCGCCTCGACCACGTTCCCAGTGTACTCTGGTTCGCAGACACCTGTGGGCCTTCCCGAGGGACTCACTTTCCCGCAAGCGTCGCCAGTCTCGCCTTCATTCACTCAGCCAGCCTCCAACAACCAGCGACCTAATACGATGGGAGGCATGATCTCGCCTCAGATCTCTGGGGATCCATTGAGTTTCAATACACTCTTCGACCCCAGCAACCCCGCCATCTTCAACTTTGACTTGGAAGGCCTCAACTTCGGCAGCCAGTATGGTGCCATGGAGTTTGGCATGTTGGGCCACATGTCTCTGGGGCTGGGGAGACACCACCGCGCGACCCTTCTCTTTCTGGACCAAGCAGCGGCGACATCAACTTTGGGTCCGCCGGTGTCTTTGTCAACAGCAACGGCCAGTATGGTCAATCCTATGATGGCATAGGTAGCGAATTCTTGAACCTCGATCACCC